TCCATTTGATGAATTTATTAAGAACTCCGAAATTGAAATACAAAGTAGTAACATCACATCTCTCCATAGGAAAGCCTCAATCCCGCAACACGAGAGTAATAATCGCATCAAAAACAAAATACTAATACCAAAAGAGAAAGGGAGCCGAAGGAAACAAAAAATAATCTACCATCTAAAACCAATCTGTCTAACTGCAATATTCCAACGAATTCTCCAGAGAACAAGTACGTGCAAAGCTAGAGAACAAATAGGTGCAGAGCTGAGCCAACCAACATGAGCCAAAACGAGAAGAGTAATGATATATAAGCAAAAATAGGTTTTTAAATAGGTCTATTTAAAGGCGCAATGGCCTAGTTAAAACCACATTTCTGCCTAATAGCCTAGTTAGCTATTGCTCCTTTGTGCTCTATAGAAGATTTTCCCCTTTTTGTAATTTAAATAGGTCTTTCAACAAAAAACAAAAAACTAATTCATGGATTCTCAAAAACATTGGTAGGCTTAATGTTATTATGTGTAATTGTGAAAGGAGTTATACTAGGTTTCTTGACAATATCATTTGTATGTTTTTATTTTTGTTTCATAAAACGTCTCATTTTATATTTTTAATACCGATTTTTAAAACAAATTATATTTGATTCTTATTGTTTCGGATTATTATAAAGAAAATGAATTTTATAAATATTTCAAATATGTGTGAAAACACTAAAACGATATTTATAGTGTGAAACATAATTTTCGTTTGACATATTTCCAATTTTCCATATTTGTAAAACTTTGAAAATATTTTTAATTTATTTCAATTAACTTTAGGCGAGTTATGTAGGCATTTACCATGTCGCCCGATTATTCAATAAGTCAACATTATTGCAACGAACGGTTTTTTGTTGTTATATGTTTCATGAATCAATAAAGTCATGAAACGTGGGAAAATTCAGAAGAAATTTAACATGGAAATTCACAAGTAAGTCAGGGAAATTCATATGAAATTTCTGCGACGAATTGTTTTTTCCAAATTAAGCTAATATTTATACACAAGAAAATAGAGATTCATACACAAAGACCACACAAGACTCTACTTTGAGAGTTCAATATAAAACCTTTTTTTTGTTTAGTCAACCAATATAAAAACTATTTATCTGTGACTGTGGAGTCTTGCGAGTCATGACGAAAAATTGATAAAGACTAGAAATTACAAACGAAGTTTCAATATTAATATTATATCATAAAAAAACCATATCGTAAAAGATAGTTAGAAAAGAAGAGGAAATTGAACGCAAGAAACTTCAAACTCACCTGCAGAAGCAGACTCTCTTCTCTTCTCCAGATTGATCCACTCAATTACAATAATGTGTTCTTTTTCTTTTTTTTTTTGGAGATTTTCTGAATGTTCATAT